GTGTTGGTTCATTTGCCTTAATGACACTAATGTTTAGATTTTTTTTAATGCTGCAATTGGATAAGCATTTCTTTTGCTTTCTTGCCACTATCTAAAAACCCCAATCCCTTCCACCCATTTCCCTCTTTCATTCACATAGTATATCTAACCATCTACTCCACAACCCCCCGTCTCAATCAGTGCTACCATATTGACAAGTGTCTAATAGGGAATCTTTGCCTTGGAAATATGACCTTACTTCCTATATTTCATCCTCTGAACTACACACAAAATGCAATCAGACCATATTCCGTCCCAAAATAACTGTCACAGTTTAACTTCAAATTTAAACTAAAACCACGACACTTATTTTGAAACGAATGGAGTAATTAGCTTCTACCCTAATCCCATAATTAGTCACCCTAAAGTACTACTCCCTCCGTCCCATTAATATAAGAGCGCTTTTTTACACTAGTGTAGTATAAAAAGCGCTCTTATATTATGGGACAGAGGGAGTAGGTTAAATAGATAAACTAATTACACACAACCCTAATAGCATGTCAAGCAGATACACAGATAAATATATGAACTTACTTAATCCCATATGATAAGTAGATAGATAAAATAATGATATATAAACGATTAACACCTAAACAGATAAGCTATGAAACTATTTAATTGAAACTACCTCATTTAAAGATATTTATCTATATTAAATTGAACATCTACTATGTCTACCGAGCAAATATAACTAGCACATTCTAATTTTCCTAATTCAGATGAACCCTAAACCCTAATTACCGAATTGGAAACACTAACACTTAACCAATCCCCGATATCACTGAACACGTTCATTGAATTGCACAACAAGCATGTCTCCACATAATCCTAATTGCATTGCACCTATTCCCTAATTTTCATTCAACCCTAAATTCCTAACTGACCTCAAACACCAAAATCCTAAACAAAGGGGGAGGAGGACGACTTACTTCCCAACGTTGAGTGGGGAAGCCCAGCGATGACCTTTTGTCCGACTGGTGACAACCGTGCGTGCCAGAGCTGCCGCCGCACTGGATGAAAACTATGGGCACAACTACGTGGCAAAGCACATGCTTCCAAGCCAGTTGTCCACCTCGGAGTAGTCGTGTCCCTTGCCGCTTGTCCCTCCACCGCCTACTAAGTCGCCATCGTGGATGGGGTTCACCGCTGCAATCGTCGATCGTGGATGGTTCAGAGCGGGCGGGGGAGAGGCCGTGGATGGGGTTCGCCGCTGCCATCATCGGTCATGGATGGTTCAGAGCGAGCGGGGGAGAGACCATGGATGGGGTTCGCCACTGCCATCGTCGGTCATGGATGGTTCAGAGCGGGCAGGAGAGGAGAGAGTGAGCGGGAGAGACAACCTGGTCCGACCAGATAGAGCCAGATGACGGCCATTAGTGGTTGCCGTCTCATAGCTGCCACGTGGACCTGGCAGGTGGGTTATGTATGTCATAACCATGGTCTAAACTAACCAACTGAATGAACAATATTTTAAGAAAAAATTAGGCGCAATACCCATGTTTTTGGAATAAAATTGTAATGTGATGGTTTTTTGAAACCCTGGCGGCAAATATGGTGGTTTTATGCTATTTAGTATTTACTTTGTATAGAATTGGTTGTTCTGTTGTGTATCTGGAGCTAATGCTGGCGTTGTTGTTGTTTTTGCTGCTGTTGTTGTTTGTTTCTGTTGTGTGATGTACTGGAGCAGCGAAGAAGCGGAAGTTGGATCTCAGACATGGATCTCAGTCGCGCCCCAGGAGCCCGTTTATTGCCGGATTGGGCCGAAACTGGCGCCGGCGGACCCAGGCTGAACCCGGCGTGCTGGGGAACGCCTGGGGCACCGGAGAAACTAATTTTGGCGCAAACAGGAATGGGCCCGCCGAGTCAGTGACACGCCGCTTCGTCGTCCTCATCGCCTCGATTCCCGCGGGAATCAATGCCAAGGTTGCCGCGCTGCCGCACCGATCAACCTCCATTGATGCCTCACGGGTGGCGCAATGAAGACGCCGCAATGTGCGTCCCCCCCGGTCCCCCACGCGTTGCCCGGCATGCAGATTGTCAGCGCCTAGCTTCGGCTATAAAAGCCGACCTCCCCGCTGGTGAAACCCACAGTCGCCACAACTCGCCTTCTCTCTCGCCTCAACTCCCCCCCCCTCTTCCCCGCTGACGCGCAATGGCTGAGCGATACCCCGGCGACGCCGCGACGATGAACGGTTTCGGCCGCCGCCATCTCCACGAGCCCGAGGCACGCCACCTCTACGAGGCCGACTACCCGGTGCCCCCAGACATGCGGGTGCTGGGCATGTGGAAGTTGAGCGCCGGCAACGTCCCGGTACCCCCGGTGCCCACCGGGGCTGAACGGCGGGCCGAGATCGCCCGCATCCGTTCGTCGATGCCAGAGGCGCAGCGGAACGAACCGAGGTACGCCGCCGACAGCCACACGTTGTGGACGATGTTCTTCGAGCGCCGCTGCGAAGAGCAGATCACCTCCACCAACGGCACCGTCTCCCGCGACCGATACAACACCGACGGGCGGCGCAAATGGTGGGGCGTGCCTGGCCGCACCCTCGAGGCCGTCCTCGACTGCATCGAGACCGGGAACACGCCGCGCCTCGAGTACCACACGCTCAGCCCCAGACATTGCTTTTTCTCTTGGGGCTTGTTTGGTCGCCCACCACACGTTGCCACACTTTTGTGCCCTAAGTGTGACATGCCACGGTTTTTGCCACATTGGTCGTGACATTTAGCAGCTGTGTATATGACAAGTGGGTTATGTGATTAGGAAAGTGTGGCATGCCACAACTGTATGGCAACACCAAACACTTGCCACACTTGTGACAGAGAAGTGTGGCAGATTGTGTATGCCAACCAAACAACATGCCGTTAGATTTTACTGCTACCTCCGAACTTTAGTTGGCAACTGAAAAACAGTAAAAATAAGTGCTTGTAGAGAAATCAGGCTGTGAAAGTTGAGAGAAAAGTGACAGGTGACGAGATCGATCATAATATTATTTCAGGGAAGCTAGTACACAGTTGATTACTTGTTACTCCTAGGCAGAAACATGTACCCAGAGAAGATGTAGAACAAGGGCATACAAAAATTATTTAGAACATGTACTCAACACAGGCTTGTTATCGCTATCCCGGGGCCACTGGTCAAGTTGTTGCATCAAGTCTTCCTTGAGTTCATCGCGGTAGGAACCCTCCAGGCACACTTCCTTGAGACTCTTTAGATCCACCAGCCCATGAAGCCGCAAAGACGACCCACTGGAGCAGTGAACCTTGAGCACCTCAACACCCAGCGTTCTGAATCCTGCAAAAGCTACCTCTAACCTGGAGCTGGAGGTGCAATTAATCTGCAGGACCTTCGAGTCCAAGAAGGGTCCACTCGCCGTAAAATCCAACTCGCAGTCTTGCATCATCAGCTTGACATGAAGACGACGCAAGGCTGGCAAGTCCGCAAGGGCGTATTGTATGTCCTCTTGCTTCAACATGTCAAGATCCACCTTGTCGAGATTGTCAAGCTGTCCGATCCAGCCTGGCAATATGTGCACATGCCCATGCAGCTTAAGGCTCTTTATGTTCTTGGGTGGGTGTGGGATGTTGTCGTCCAAAGTAACAAATGAACTCTGCTTGTCCTTGTCAAATCGAACCCACAGGGACTCGAGGTGGATGTGATCGGAGATGGCTGAAAAGAACTCCTTGACGGTTTTCATGTTGATGCCGGACACCCTGAGCTTGCGCAACTGGTTAAGCTCCTTGAGCTCTTTCAGGAAAGCCTTCCCCCCTGCACCACGGACATTGACAACACCAAGAGTATGTAATGCCGCCAGCCCCCGAATCTTTGCAGGAACCTTAACCCCCATGCCATCCCTGTCTACTGCTAGTGTTGCTGCCCGTTTGCTTGAGCTTGTTATGGCACCTTCATCTGTTTCTGTGGCCATGCTACATCCATCACGTGATTCTGCTTCTGCGGTGCCAGCACGGATGTACTGCAACTTCTGTAGATTGATGATGGCATGAGGGAGTGTGACAATGGAGGTGCGTCTGACATCCAGAGTCTGCAGCTGTCTCAGGCCACCCACTGATTTGGGAAGACGGCTAATCTCTCCGCATCCTCGTAGAGAGAGGAACTTAAGGCGAGATAGTATCCTTAAGATATGCTCAAGATCATCATTTGTTACACCTGACGTGTCCTCTAGATCGAGCACTCGAAGTATCTTCATGCTTCTATTGATAAGGAATGATTCCCATTTGCCAGACACCGTAAGTGATCGTAGCCGTGAGAAATCAATGCTCTTGAATACGGCCTTATCTCTATCCCAGCTGTTACTTATGGTGAGGTGTTGCCCTGAGCGTTGCAAGTCCCCCCTGCAATGCCCATCCAGGAAAAATATATGGTTGTCTTCCATTGGCCGTGAGATGATGTATTCATGGAAGAAACCATTATAGCACACGAGTGTTCTTCCTTTTGGTTGGACTATACTCAAGTTGACGAGCTCATGGAACAAAATTTCCCCCTTATCCTCTGCACTCATACTGGGCGTATTTCTAGAGTAACCCTCTGCGATCCACCTCCTTAGCAAACGCCTCTGCCTAATGTTTTGGTACGGAGAGAAGACCGACATATAGAAGATGCATGGCTTGAGTGAATCTGAGCAAGCATCAAAATAGGATTGCATCCAATAAAATAGATCCCTCAAATGTTCTCTTTGATCTCTCTCCAATATCTCCATAAAGTTTTGACCTATATCCTGCAACCGGTTTCGGTGAAACTCGTTGCTTGTTTGGTTCTTGCGATATCTGCCTACAGCTTCTATTACTTTTGGAAGTCCACCACATTTGGGCACGATAATATCTTCATAAAGCTTCTTCTCATAAGGAGTCCAGGCTTCGTCGTTGGAAGCTATCTGTGGTTAAAAATAAATAATTAACCCCTCAAAAATAATATTTTTTTTGCAACTTTAGTATGATTTTTTATATATATTCCACCAGTCAACACACATTAAAAATATTAATTACACCGATGGATTACGAAATATAAGGTTCCTTTTTTGCGGGATTGAAATATAAGGTTCTGATGATGCAAAAAAAGGGATGATGCCATGATGGCCTGGCGAGTTTCCATCGAGTATTTGGTCTGTGAACCTGAACCAGAGGTTTTTGTTCTTCTGACGCAAGGAAACTAATGGAAGTCTGCAGTAATGTGTTTGGATTTGGAAAATTAGTGTGTGCAGAACTGATTAAGCCTGTGGGTAGCATAGGATGCATCTAGAGCCTGGTTCTTTGTGAGCATGAAGTGTTGTGGTGTATTTGTGAAGGCTGTGTGGAGTTCTTGGTGTTATAGAATTGTAAACTACTGAGTGTTGGCATGTTTGGATGTGTGCATTGCAATGATGCAGAGGCCGAGGGTCTCAACCTCCTATAAAAAAACCGAGTACTAACATGCATAAAAGGGATTTTGTAGAGAACACACCTTGGTGAACAGATGACGGGCCACGTCAGGTTCCAGACGTTTGATGTTGACCATTTGAGATTCTTTTTCTACACAATGCCTGGCGACGCTTGCTTCGTACGTAATGACAACAATACAAGATTTAGTATACCCCATTAATAAATTGGTTTTTATCAAGTCCCAGTCATGGGTGGACTGTAGGCCATCAATAACCACGAGGCACGCGTGTTGCCGCAGAAGCCTATCACACGCTTGAATGTGATCTTGGCCTTCCATGATACCAACTGCTACCTTTTCTTTGGCTTGAATATCATCTGAATGGAAATCCAGAAACAAGCGCTGATAGAAGCCTGCCAAATCAAACGGGTGGGGCACATCCACCCAGCTATACTTCTCAAACGTCTCTCCATCAGCGGAGTCTGAAATCCTTCGATCTAACCTGAGCATTAGGTGGCAATAAATGTATCTGATGAGAGCTGATTTACCGACGCCAGCAATCCCCCACACTGAGACCACACCATGACTTGATTGCATAAGCTCTAAGAGCTTACGTGCTACAACATCCTGATGCCCAACAAGTTCAAAATTATTGATCCACTCATATGCTTCATCCCTGAAGCTGGAGAAAACGCTACCCTGCAAGTAAAGGAGAATTATTAATTCCAGTGACCTTCTTGAACCAATTTCTTGACTATTATTCTAATACAGGAAAAACATTGGAGCAAGTAAGGACAAGGGGGTGGCCAGCCTCCAGCTAGACAGATGTGGAGTGGTCTACCAGGCCAATTTGTTGCCAACAAAAGAGAGTTGCGAAAATGTACAATGGCTGATGTTATCTTACTAAAAGCATCTCTAGCCCTTCCCTCAAAATCTGGTAACTCCCTACAATTTCTGTTTTGAAGACTTAAAGCCCCCATCTAGCCCTTTCGTCAAATCCTTTTAACTCCTCCAACTTTTGAGAAATTACTCCTCAAAAGAGCCCCTCCCTGCTCAAAAGTGGGACTAGCACAATGAGCAAATTGTGCAAAAAATGCTTCTTTTTTCCGGTTCCACAACAACTTGGGTGAAATGGGGTTCTACCGAAAAACCATGGTCAAGTTTACAACCTTGGTTACTGGTCGAGTCACTTGAATGGAATGAGATAAAAATCTCTGAAGTTCTTTCCTCTCCACTTACTTGTAACAAGCTTTCCCTCTGTATAAGACTTCTTCCGAATGGCATAATTGTCCTATTGACACCTTGACCTTTAAAGAAAATTGGTCCTTCTTAACTAATGATCTCGCCGTAGTAGTTTGTGTGAGGGACTATCTTTTCCATCGTTTTCTTCACTCTCAAGAGAACGGTCGGTCTCTCTATGTTATTATAAAGTAAAGCAAAGTGCATGGTGCTGAAAGTGAAGAAAGCTCAATAAACACAAACGAACACGATGCAGGGTATAGCATAATGAGCCTGCTGGTCATTGTGCTTGACCTTTATCAATAATTATGCATTGGTTATCTTTAATCTAGTGGTATATATTTTGTATATCAGAAGTCCTAGATAGGAAAGTAGAGTAGGCACAGTTTCAAATTGTGTTTGCAAAGATAAGATTGTGCAACGTTGCAGTTTGTGGAGTTAAATTTCGAGGAAGCACTAGGTGCACACAATTTTAACTCATGAAAACTCAAAAGAGGATGTAAGTCTTTTTGGGTGGGTGGGGGTTGTTT